TTCTAGGGAAACTATCCTGAATTTTCTTTATATTACCAAATGGTTAAAAACAATTGTCAAGGGTTTGGACATTGCTAGGTTCTGGCTGACCTCTTCCTCTGGAGGTCAGAGTTGAGCATGACTCCTTGTGGAGTGAGCAAAGTTAATGAGCACTAATGGGGTGTTAACAAAAGGCCAAATGAAAAACCCAGCGCTCGGGAAATTTACATTTTAATGCTGTGGCACACCTGAGCAAAGTATTTCAAATCATAAAGACTTTGCTAGTAAAAAAAACCCTACAACAGCAGGGGAATCATTTGTGATCAAGACAAATTTTAATATAATCCCTTCTTCACACAGCTGAGGAGAGAATTTTACACTTCTATTCCAGACGGTGCTGTTTTATCAGTTTTACTCCTTGGTTTGCTCAGTTAATTGAAGTCCTTTCCCTGTTTGTTAATGGCAGATTTGTGCAGTAAAAATGACTCCGGAACAGATGCCGGCAAATTTGTCAAAGTGGCTGGATCATCATCTTGACCATGATGTTCTCTGAAGGACTATTCCATTTTCACCCACACTGAACTCTTACAAGACTTAAATATCACCTTTGCCTTTACTGCCTTTAAACAGGAGGCAAAGGGGAGGGTGAATGGGAAGAAGAAAAATCAGCAAGATCCTTGGTCAAAGTCATTTACTTTGAAAGGAATAATCAGTAATGAAGCATTTCAGCAGACAATTTCAAATGCAAGAATTTCAAGATGATATATTTTTATGAGACTCCTATAAATCTCACCACAGGCTCCCTAATCAACTTGCATTCATGTTTGCTATAAACTTGCAGCTCAAACAAAGTTTTCTCTCATATCTTTGTTCTTGTCTTGTCTGCATATATCTGCAAGTAAGATGCCTGCCTATTGATAACCAGAAATTAAAAGAAAAAGAAGTGGCAAGAAGCCATTGATTAATGTTTTGTGTGCATGTGAATATGATTTATTCTTTGGTAATTTCAGAACATCGTATAGTTAATACCTACAGAAAAAAATCCAAAGAATGGGTTAAAATAGATAACTTTCATTACAAATAAACAAAAAAAAGTTTTAAAAAAATACAAAGCCCTGTACAAATGCAACATTTAAAAAAATTAATTAATCAAAGTCTTTCAGAAATCTAGCAATTTGTGATAAGATGTATATAGTTTTTAAAAATCTTCATCTGGGCTAGTCATTTGATTTATATATCCGAGCTACCTACCCCAAATGTGTTTTCTTTCAATAAGGTACATTCACTTATATATTGTTTGTTACTATTACCTAGTTCTCTTAAAGAGAACACAAATGATATATGAAGGCAGATTATCTCCTTTGAGTTAAATTCTAATGTGCTCTTTCAACATTACATAAAAATCTTGTTTTATGTAAAATTTATACCTAAATTTTGCATAGGATATTATAAATCAGAATATATTTATTACAACTATTACAACTATGCAACTGTTGATTTAAATACAGGAGGTTATATCAGATTCATTGTAAAAGCGAGGAAGAGATGCAGCTGGGAGACACCAAATGATTCACCAAGGTTACTGGGGTCAAGCAACAGCTAGACCTGGAGTTGCTCCCCTACCAATCTTTTTGGTTATAAATCTCATGATAATAAACTCTACAAAACTTTAAATATGGCTTTTTTTTCAAAGTCTAATAGTATATAAATTCTCATTCCATAAAATTTTATTTGAAGCATTTGTCAGTTTATAAAAATAGTTGCTTTCTGGGATTGGAAATGGAGTGTTTTATATTTATGATAAATCAAAATGTGTCAGAACCATTAGGAGCAGCTTACTCTAACACAAGTATGCAAAGAGCTATAGTACATGGTTTTCAAAGGCCATTGTATACGAACCCCCACAGTAGGGTACACAGTAAATTACCCAGTAAAGAGATGTGAACTGCCTCTTAAATAACCAAGCGGGACAAATGGCAGAAGGGATATTGTCACTATAAATTTTAGAAACAGAGGACTCTCTTAATATTTAAAAATGCTTGGGGACAAATAAATAAACAAATGCAGGAACAAAGTGTTTAAAAAAGGAATAGCAAAATGAGCATCATAACAAAGATATGCAATTTCTTCTCAAGGTGTAGGTATGAAAGTGCAATCCTACCCTCCCTCCTCTTCATCCTAATAATGGGAGGAGACCCTGGCAGGGATATATCTCAGACAGCAAACAAATTAAGCTTTATTTTCACCGTGAAGTGCAATTCTACTCTGCTACATGGGATCGCCACGAACGGGAATCAAACTTGATGGCAACTGGTTTTTTGTTTTATCTTGTTTTTTTAGTTAAAGGATATGTTACTGGTAGTAAGCCCACTTCTCTATACTGCTAGTATTTTCTAGTGTTTAGAAAAATAATACACTTAAAGCTCAACTAGTAGAAAAGGTGACTGTGACAATTATGTGCTCACATATAGGCCTTAATAAAGCACAGACACATTATCTTGGTATTCTGATGTTTAAATGAATATAAAGTACAAAGTACAATGCTAAGAACTACAGGTTGAGCTCCTACTTTGTGTCAGACGTTTTACACACCTTAATATATCACTGTTTTTTTATCTTTACTTAAACATTTCTTATAAATATTACTGTTTTTCAAATGTGGAAACAGATATTCAGGTGTGTTAAGTCATTTCATCAAATTTTTCTAAAGAGTAGACAACTACATAGCAGGTCAGTCTAACTTAGAAGACCCCAGATCTTATTCATTCCAATGTTCCATGAGTTGGAATTGACTCAACGGGCAGCTAACAACAAAATTCTGGCTGATGTATTGCTAAGGTGAGGAATACCTCCTTGAGATAGTTAGCCCATTTTCCAAGGGGGAATACATGCAGTCCTTTTGTTTGAGTGGGTATCTGCCGTCTACTCAAGCACATGGTTCGACCTACAGGAAGCAATTATATAATTTCCAAACTAATCCTACAGTAGAGAAATATAACAGTCCAGTGATACTCTTTGGTTACCTCTATTTTATTTAGAGGATCTCATAACATACCATCTTTTCATATACTTGAAGGAATACACTGTAAATGTATTTCGATTTTTACATGGAAAGAAAATCTCCATAGCAGGGCAACTCATCTGTCATATGGAAGATAAGACTTACATCACAACTACATGGACAATCTTATATTACACAAAATTAATGACTTGATGACTTTCCCCAGGCTTTCAATTAATGTAAATTATATCACACTTAAAATATAGTCATTAAAATACATTTTGTTTAATATTTCCTAATCATACACGCACACAAAAAAATTGTGGGGCATAGACTCTAGAAAGCAGAAGCTATATGGGCTTAGCAATTTTATCATCTTCTCTGTCTGCTCTGTGAAAATGGATAAACAAAACAAAAAAATAAAAACAAACAAATAAAACATTTCTGTCAAGTCAATGTCAATGCATAGCGACCCCATATATTACAGAGTAGAACTGCTCCATAGTGTTTTCTTGGCTGTATTCTTTACAAGAAAGGAGTCCTTGAGTGTCACAAACAGTTAATGCTCCATAACTAGCCAAGAGGTTGACGGTTCCAACCCACCTCAGAAGACAGGCCTGTAGATCTGCTTCTCAAAGGCACAGCCTTCGAAACCCTATGGAGCAGTTCTACTCTGCACACATGGGCTCACCATGAGTCAGAATCGACTAGATGGCAACCAACAACAACAAAAACAACTAACAACACAATCTTTACAGAAGTGGATCATCAGGCCTTTCTTCTGTGGCACTGCTGGCTGGACTCTAACTAGGGCTTTGAACTGGTTTGTTCTAGTTTGAACCCCTGCTGAGAATTTGCATTTCTAACAAGTTCTCAGGTGATGCTCATGCTGCTGGTTAGGAACCAACTCTGAGAACCACTAGTAGAGCAGTGGTCTCAAAATTTATCATACATAAGAATCACAAGGGGATCCTGTCAAACTGTAGATTCTGATTCAGTATATCTGGGTGGAAATGCAAATTCTCAGCAGGGGTTCGAACCAGAACCAACAGGTTTGAAGCCCTGGTTCCAACCATCAACCTTTAAGTTAGTAGTTGAGCACAAACCATTTATGACATCCAGAGACCTATTTAAAAAAAAAACAAAACAAATCCATTACTGTCGATTCTCTGACTCATAGCATACGTAGCTTCCTCACTGCCCAGCTCTTGCAGCATAAATGGCCTCCTCTGTGCCCAGCTCCTGCAGCATTCATAGCTTCTTCAGCATCAAGCATCTGCAGTACACACTGGCCAGTAGTACCCATGGGCTGGCAGCTTTCTCTTGTGCCCCCTCAGGCTGTTTTGTAGCAGAGTTCCTCCAGTGAGACAGTTCCCCATGGAAAGTTTTCCTGGCACTCTAGAGGGTACATCTCAGGCAAATTTTAGAAGGAGGATTTCCAGCAAGCTCTGCTGGTGCAGAATCACAGTGACTTCTCTGTTATCCACTGAGCCAAGGCTCCGACCTTTCCAGTAAGGTCTGGATCTCAGCCTAGGGGGTGAAGTCTTTCTTGGGTGCTCAATCTCACCCCTAGGAGTAGTGGCGGCTCCTTAGATCTGTTTTCCTATATTTTTAGAGATGTTTTTTACTTCTTACTAGCCAATTCCTTGTTTCTCTAATCCTCTGTTATCATTAATAATTATATTAAACTTTCTCTGTTAAAATTAATGTTTGGTTTCTCTGATTGGACCCAGACTGATACCATGCCTGAAGCCTGAGCTATTCTTGGATTTCTCAGTTTTTACAGTCTAATAAATTCTATTTTTTTATGTGATGTTGGCTATAGTTGGGTTTTTATAGCTGGAGGTGAAAAAGTTCTGATGCAAATAAAATCTCTATAAAAATAAATTATTGTTGTTGTTAGGTGCCGTCAAATCAATTTTCAACTCATAGCAATCCCATGTGACAAAGTAGAACTGGCCCAAAGGGTTTTCCAGGCTGTAATCTTTATGGAAGCAGATTGTCAGATCTTTCTCCCATGGAGCCTCTGGGTGGGTTAGAACTGCCAACCTTTCAGTTAGCAGCCGAGTGCTCGACCATTGCAACACCAGGGCTCTCCTTTAAAAATTAATAGAAGGGTAAATATAGAGAAAATTGTCTTAGAAGCTGTATAAATACAGACTCAATTCTAATTCTAATAAGCTTTTTTTTTTTTCCCTTCAGCTACTCAGGAGTAATAGTATAGTGATAACCTGGAATTTGCTCTAAATTATAGGAAAAGTAAACTATGAGTAGATTTCATCACTTTGATTCAGTACTTTATTATGAGTCACAAGTCTTATGCAGCATACCTCACCATAACCAGTGGACAGCCCTTTTCCCAAGGAATTGACAATCACTCTCTGATGGTGAATCAATGTAATTAAGTAAACATTAAGTGGTTAATGCACTTACATTGATCCAGAGAGTATCCAGGAAAGACGTGAAAGGGGTGAAGGCAAGTTTACTGTAATATGTAGATATAGGAAATTGAGTACCCTTAAGCAGGGAAATACCACAAGTTATTTTTTAAATTTTCTTTAGTGTTTTTATTATTATTTTTAATTTTATGTTCTTCGTTGATTTTTTCCACCATTCTATATTAACTAAATACTTCTTTCCTATTTTTGGAATAGGTGTCAATTGTGTAGTCAAATTTAAAATGCAAAAATAACAAAATCTGGACAGTCCCTAAAAGTCACACTCGTAGAAAATAAATAGCCTTATTTCAGATCCTGACTGTCCAAAACAACGAAGACTACAGTAATCTGGATATGACTGATCAATAATTGTTGCTCAAGGAGCCCAAGTGGTGCAAGCAGTTTGCCATCAGCTGCTAACCTCAAGGTTGGCAGTTCGAACCCACCCAGCAGCTCCACAGAAGGAAGGCCTGCTGATGTGCTTCCGTAAAGATTACAGCCAAAAAAAACCTATGGAGCAGTTCAGTACTGTTACACATGGGGTCACCATGAGTCAGGGGTGACTTGAAAGCAGCTAACAACAACAACAACGATCAGTAATTGTTGCTTACCTATATATTTCTAATGAACTAAAATGACAACAAGCTGAAATATTCTGGATAGAATCAGCTACGGAAGTCAAATCATTAAATATTTCAAAACTTAAAGAAAAAGCGACTAAAACTTCAACAAGAAGTGTGTCAAACTTCTACTTATAAGTTTAGAGTTTCTGCTATCAACAAAGTGTGGGTGTAAGGAGTTGCTAGACTTTAAGGACTTCAGTCCAAACCCTGTGTTTCTATGATTTCTATAAAAGGGACAAACACCATTATATGGCTAAGAGTAAAAACACTCCATTTCCTTTCCTTGTCCTGTCTTCTCCTTTAAAAAAAAAAAAAAAAAATATTTGAGAAGTCTTGCCATTGAATTTTGAAGGCAGGGAGAGGGTTGAATGTGACAGAGATTTGATGACTCTCCTGGGGTTCATGTACCGTTTTTAAAGAAGTGACTTGATTGGGTTCTGCCATTTACATCTCTAAATTTTTTACGATATTTAAAAATAATTCACACATTCATATCTTAATCTTTTTCATGTTTTCAAAGAAAGGTTATTTTTTTTAAACTGAAGTTTTATATGTTTGAATCTTGACCTTTGTTGGTCAGAAACAAAGGAATTGAATGCAATTTTCTTTTCCATTCAGTTCAGAACATATCTACAAACTTAGTCTCATATCACTATACATAGAAGAAGGATTTTTTAAAAATTTTTGTTTCTGTTATTGTTTGCTTGTTTTCTTTTTTTTTTTTCACTGAAGTCCACAACAACAAATGAAGGTAAGATGATAGAAAATAAAACAAGGAGGTCCAGTAGAAGAACCAGAGCTTGATAGTAGCCCAGAACAGCTGGAAAAGGGTGCAGTGATCATTTATTGTTCTTACGCTTTCTGCTAGAAACTTTACACTGCTATTTCCCTAGATATTAAAACAGCCTTGTAATGATGGCATTATTGATCTTCTTTGGAGAAAAAAAAAACTAAGGGCCAAAGTAGCCCAAAATTAGGATTCTAGTTCAAACCCATTTTGTTCGAATCTAAAGCTCATGTTCTTTCTAATAAACCATATTGTCTTTTAATGGGTGAAAGAGAATTAGAGAGGAAGGGGATAGAAAATAGAGCCAAGACAGAGAGAATGATGAAGAAAAGTCATTCAGTTATTACCATATTTTCTTGTTTCTGTGGTATCATTGATTGCTTTGTATGAACCAAAGAATTTCTAGATCAATGTACATGTCAGTTCTGAGACATACCAATTTCAAATATGTTAATGTGTGAAAAACTGTAATGTAGAATGGAGGAAATATGGTAGTAAGAGGTAACATCCTTCCGTTTACCTGGTAGGGCTTCCTTGCAACTGGCTATTATCTGTTGTTGGGTGCCATCGAGTTGATTCTGACTTAGAGCAACCCCATGTGACAGAGAAGAACTTCCCCATAATGTTTTCTTGGCTGTAACCTTTAAGGGAGAAGATCTTTCTCCTAAAGAGCTGCAGGGTTGATATGAAGCACCAATTTTTCATTTAGCAGCCCAGCATATAACCATTGTGCCATCGTGGCTCCTTGGAGTCTACCGTTGTTGTTGTTGTTAGGTGCCCTCCATTGGTTCCGACTCATAGCGACCCTGTGCACAACCGAACACAACACTGCCCAGTCCTCTGCCATCCTCATGATCGTTGTTATGCTTGAGCCCATTGTTGCAGCCACTGTGTTAATCCATATCATTGACGGTCTTCCTCTTTTTCGCAGACCCTCTACTTTACCAAGCATGACGTCCTTCTCCAGGCACTGATCCCTCCTGATAACATGTCCAAAGTATGTGAGACGAAACTCGCCATCCTTGCTTCTAAGGAGCATTCTGGCTGTACTTCTTACAAGACAGATTTGTTCATTCTTTTGGCGGTCCATGGTGTATTCAATATTCTTCACCAACACCATAATTCAAACGTGTCAATTCTACTTTGGTCTTCCTTATTCTATGTCCAACTTTGCATGCACGTGAGGCGATCGATAACACCAGGCACACCTTAGTCCTTAAAGTGACATCTTTGCTTTTGAACACTTGAAAGAGGTCTTTTGCAGCAGATTTGCCCAATGCAATATGTCCTTTAAATTCTTGACTGCTGCTTCCATAGGTGTTGATTGTGGCTCCAAGGAAAATGAAATCCTTGACAACTTTAATCTTTTCTCCATTTATCATGATATTGCTTATCGATCCAGTTGTGAGGATTTTTGTTTTCTTTATGTTGAGGTGTTAAGTCTACTACTCTTGAAAAGGATTTTCGGCTAATTAAGCATGTTTCTTTCCCCCAATCTTTACATCTCTCAGACTGCTCTCTGAGTGGGATAAACTGAGAGGAGCATCAGGGTGGATGTTTATTTTATCTGTTGCAGAGCAAGGTTTAACACTAAGCAACTGATGAAATGAAAAAGAGAACCAAGCATTCTTATAGGTTCAGTGTTACTCATTTAAAAGATCATACTGTTGGAATTTTCTAAGATGAACAAAATAATGTTTAAACAAAAGGATCTCCAGTAATATTTTGAAGATGAAAGGATGTTTTAAAAGCATCATATACTACAAATATATTTGGAGATTATTTTTTCTCTCTTTGGATTTTATTGATTATGCCACTTCCTTCATAACTAATGTTACAAAAAGAATGCTGAAAATATCAGCAAAATAATCTTGAATGGATATGGTATCTCTTTTTCACTTCACCACATTATTTCAAGGGAAGACAGATGTAAATTGTTTTACAAAGGACCTACATAGTTTCTTTGGTAGTATCAAACAATTCTAAAAACAGCAGGAAAGGTAATAGAAAATACACATTACTGTTGAAAACAAAGGAAAAAAATATTTTTTTTCTCAAAGGTACAGAATGTATGGTTTTATTCTGTATAATATACTTTTAAGTTTTTTCCCCCATTTATCTGTTGGATGCGCCTTTTCTCCTGAGAATGAGGGAAACTGTCTTCTAAAGAAAATGTCGAGTATATGCTAACTCTTCTTAATCATTATATTATTAAATAAATTGCTACCTATTCTTAGGTGAGGGCTCAATAAATTCCCTTTAAAATCTTCTTGTTTATATCTCTGTCATTTTATTTCCTTTTCTTATGTTATACATTCTTACAATGAATCGTAAATTCTCAAAAAGAAACCATTGTTTCTTTCATAAATGCCTTGGGCAACACCTAGCACACTATGGGTAGTGGGTTAATATTGAAGAAAATACACTTGGGACTATTCGTTTTTTCTTTTCAAAGCATCTACACACAGATCTTTATATTTTTTGTGATCTGAAATACCCTGATCTCATTCCATCACGTTTTATCTAAGAAAAAGAGCATGCACAAACTGAGGGTCATCATTTTTAAAAAAATGGAATTTTAAAATGGAATGTGATGGAAAAAAGTTTGGCAGGTGTCATAAATAGATCTAAAAGAGGAGGGCCTATCCTAGCCTTTGAATATTCTCTGGGAAATACGGTTTCAATTTCAACTAACCCCATTTTCATTTGTCTGGACTACGTTTTGGGAGCTTAATAACCTCCCAAACCAAATATTTTAAAATCATGACCCCAAATCAAAGCATACATCTCTAAGAAACAATCCCTTTAAGATCTGGTGATATAAGACATACTCAACTCTGTTTTCTTAAGGATTCCTTATCACAGGAACTTATCGTAAATGAGTGATCAGAAGTATTTCTGGTAGTTTCCTAAATATACATCTTGAAGGGTGTTTCAGACTTGACTGTGTGCAATAAACTTCCTATCTAGCCAAACACATACTGCACTACTTCATGTTCATGCAAGTAGGAACAGCGGATGGTGTATGCTGCAACATTTATGACCTCCTGCTAACATAAAATTTCATTCTTGAAAAATTTATTGGTGTCATGTAACTGAAAGCTAACTTTGCTTCTTTTTTATCTGTTAACTCTGTTTATCATGCTGTCTCTAAGTTATGGGACCGGGAAAAGTCTTCCTCTATTTAAACAACAATTTCTTCAACACTGAAAAACAGTGCGTTTCCTGCATGCAGGGACATTTTTGAGCCTAATTAAATAATGACAGAGGAGTTAAACAAGTCCAAATATTAGTTGATGGATGCAATTTGTTGATGTACATCAGTGGTACATAACAGAGATCTGACTGAGCTGCAAATTGTACTGTAATCTGTCACCTCGATGGTCTTGGATTCTAAAACAGGAAATATACCACATCTTTGTGATCAGACATTTCCTAAGAAAACAAAGTCAAACTGGAATAGTGTGGGAGAAGAAAGACATATTGGAAGTGTTTCCTGAGTAAACAGCATTCTGGATCATTATCCGTAAATTGTCATGACACTTTTCAAAATACCACTGAGGGGTATGCTCTATAGAAGGCCAGAGTATAGGGTTTATCTTTCAGTTGTTTCTAGATACATTCAAAGGGGAAACCATAATATTTATTTAAAAAAAAAAAAAGAGCTTTCACTATACAGGAGATGCAACCAATGGGTTTTTCTTATCAGCTGCCGTTGAATTGGCTCTCAACTCATGATGATCCTTTGCACGAAATTTTGCTCAGTTCTGCATTGTCCACAAGATTGGTTGCAGGTCTGACCATTGTGATCCACAGGATTTCCACTGGCTGATTACCAGAAGTAGATCGCCAGGCTTTTCTTCCTAGTCTGTCTTAGTTTGGAAGCTCTCCTGAAACCCGTTCAGTATCATAGCAAGACAGAAGCCTCCACTGATGGTCAAGTGGTAGTCAAGTGTACATCAGGCACAGTGGCCAGGGTTCAAAACCAAGTCTCCCACATGGAAGATGAGAATTCTACCACTGAACCACCATTGCCCCCAACCAAAGGGGTACTAGTATCGATAAGCAAAGGCTAAGCCTTGATGGCACAGTGGTGAAGAGCTTGGCTGCTAACCAAAAAAGATCTGCAGTTTGAATCCACCAGCTGCTCCTTGGAAACCCTATGGGGCAGTTCTACTCTATCCTATAGGGTTGCCATGAGTTGAAATTGACTCCACGGCAATGGGGTTTTTTTTGTTGTTTGTTTTGTTTTTGTTTTTTGGTAAGTCCTTGAAAGTTTTTCCTTCATAACTATGTCAAACATAGAAAAAAATAAAGAAAATGTTTATTACATTTTTACATTGTATCCCCTTTTCTTGATTCCTACAGAGCACTATGTCTTTGACTCTTGACTTTTTCACTACAAAGACTTAGAGTCTACCTGCTCCATTTTTGGTTTTGGTTTTACAAAATCTGGGTAATGGGTAGAGAAAGCTGAGAAAATCAAGGAGAGAAATAGGAAGAGGGATTTAAAAAGAAGGAGGAAAAAAAAAAGGAGAGGCTGTAGACTGAAATAGGAAGAGGGATTTAAACAGGAGAGCAAGGAAAAAGGGAAGCCACAGACTGAATTTCAGAAAAAAAAAATTTTTTTTTTTTTGAAGATTTAGACAGGCTTTTGAAACATCTACAAGAAGTGAGAGAACTTGAGAAATTTGCAGCGAATCAAGAATTGGAACATACTCTAACACACTTAAAGAGGCTTCATTGGATATTCAAAAAATATTTACAGTTACTGACTGTGTTTCTTTAAAGCAGTCTATGCTATGAGTGGACCATGTGGTGTGATTTCAGCTTTTGTGGAGGTGACATGTGATATCCATTTTCCTTCCTTGTCCCTGATTTTAGGATGTTCCCTCAGGGCCAGCATATTCTGAATTCTCTTAATTCTGATAATTATGTTATCTGAAAGATAGTTTTCAAAATTGTCAAAATTTTACTTTTTATTGGGGCACAGAATTAAGTTTACCATATTGATATTTTAACTATAAAATTGT